CCATTAGGATGGATGAAAGAAATTTCATAGTGATGAGGGTTTTCGGTGAACTGTTCACACAACAAGCAGAATTAGAATTGAGGAATTGAACAATATCTTATCAGAGACACTAATCTGACTTTGAAGAGCAGCTACTGAACTTCCAATAAAAATGATTTACTTTTTGTTAAAAAGAAGTGTAATAAAACCTTAGCAGTATTTGTCATTATTGTTTTAAAATTATATTGATCACTTGATCACTTGACATCCCGTTACTTATTGATTTTCTCAAGCAGGCGCCAGTAATATCTCCATTTGTCCCTGTTGCACACTAGTATACCCCAATGGCTACAGGAACTCGCTCCAAGAACACAAAGAGCCTCAAACCATTCATTCAGGATCTTGACAAAGAAGTCTGACCATCTACTAGGTTGGCGGCAATGCGATCTTTTGACATCCCGTGGAATCCAGCAGGTAATGGCTCTAGTCCAGCAGCCATCTCCAAATCGCATTACGTGTCCAGCCCATCTGATTTTCAATGCTTGGCAAACAAAACAGCGTCCTTGATTATCAATCATTTATGGAGGTCAGAACTCCAGATTCCTTCTCTCACTGGAGTGAAACATGATACTCCAAGCATAGCTCTTTCAATTCCTCTTTGAGAGACCTGAATAGCGTTTTCATCCTGTTTTCTGTTTTCGTAGGGCCCAGGTATCTGAGGCGTATATTAATGCTGGAAGAATGGTGCAGTCGAAGAGATGTGCCCGGAGTCAGAGGATCTTCATCCTCTTAGCTATTTCTTCGACACTCTTGAAGGCGTTCCACGCCACTCGCTTCCTCCTGCACAAATCAGGTGCCAGGTTGTTTGTCATGTTGAGTTCTGGACCTAGGTACACATAACTACTACATTCATAAATGTTCATTCCATTGAGAGTGCATAGAACATCAGGAACAAGTCTGTTTCTCATGAACATTGTCTTTGTGAGATTCAGCTACAGTCTGACCTTTTTACTCATGGTCGAAGTCGACCAGCATTTGTGCTTCTTGGCTAATGTTTGGTGTTATTAGAATAATGTCATAAGCAAAGCGGAAGTGGTGTAGTTGCTGACTTTCTATCTTCACTCCCATTCCTTCCCATTCCAATTGTCACATGATGTTCTCAAGGGTGGCACTGAAGAGTTTCAGTGAAATGGTATCACTCTGCCAAACCCCTCTCGTTATGTTGATGATCACTTCCTTGTAGAATGGTGAGATCCTGGTGGTGAGTCCATAATACAACTCATGGAGGATCCTGATCTATTGAGTATGAATGCCTTGTTTGCCTAGGGCTTTGATGACCACTTCAGTCTCAACAGAATTAAAGGCCTTCATTAAATCAATGAACGTTAGACAGAGTGGCATCTTGAACTCCCGAGAAACCTCAATGAGCTTGGTTACCATGTGGATATGGTCGATCATGCTGAATCCTTTTCTGAATCCAGCTTGCTCGCATGGTTGTCCTTCATCTAGTGTTCTGCCAATCTTATTCAGGTTGACTCGAGTGAACAGCTTGTAGACGACAGACAAGAGGCAGATTGGGCAATAGTTGTCCTGGATGTCTCCCTTCTTGTACAGTAGAACAGTCCTACTAGTTTTCCATTGAGATGGAACCTTGCATTCAGACAGGTAGCGTGTGAAGAGCTGAGGCAGTGTATTGATGAGTATTGATGGCAGATTTTTCAGGTGTTCTGGTCTGACCTTGTCTGGGCTGGTTGCTTTTCACTTCTTTTTTTTTCTTTTTGGGTCACACCTGGTGATGCTCAGGATTTACTCCTGGCTATGAACTCAGGAATTACTCCTGGTGGTGCTCAGGGGACCATATGGGATGCTGGGGATCAAACCCGGGACAGCCGCGTGCAAGGCAAACATCCTACCCGCTGTACTATCGCCCCAGCCCCTGCTGTTTGCTTCTTTACCAACGAAATGGTGTGTCGGATTTCAGAAGGCACAATGTTCGGTACAACATATCCATCCTTCTGAATTTGGTATGTGGGCAGGTGGATGTTGCTATCGAAATGATCCAAGTAGAAATCATGGATAATCTTCTCCATTGCCCTGCTGGAAGAAGTGATAGATCTATCAGGACATCAGAGGGCAATCATCTTGGTCTTGTAGTTGGTGAAGGACAGGCGAGCATTGCGAATGCTTTTCCCAGCCTCTGCTGAATCAGCCAGCATTGCTGCTCTTCTCTCTTTAATGTCTCCCTGTATCACTTCTCTGCACAGCTTTGCGAGCTCTGACATTAGCATGTGGTTGCCTATGGCTTGCACTCAGCCACGTAGGCAAATGAGCTCGAGAGTTTTTGAAGACAGGTGTCTTTTCGTGGCTTTCTCTCCCTCGTCGTTCCTCATGCAATCATCGAGGTGCTGAGCCAGTCATTTTCTTCGTTAATGTCATCAAGGACAGCATCTTTCCATGTTGCCACAATAGTGCCAAAGAGCTCCCAGTTGGTGGTCATTCTGGGAGTTCTCTTCTTAAACTTTGCAACCCTTTCTCCCTGATCCATGAAGTAGAATTTTTCACAAAGGAGACAGTGGTTTGATTCCATTTGGAATTTTGGGACAAGAGTGACATTGGTCAGGCAAAACCATCGATTGAATATAATGTGGTCAATTTCATTGTGGAACTGTCCACCAGGAGCCTCCCATGTCCAACATTTAGATTTGGCCTTCTGGAACTGGATCATCTTGATCAACAGTCTTTCACGCTGTTCGTTTCGTTCTAGGCCACAGGTCCCAATGTAAAGTTCTTCGGACGACCTTCTCAGTCCTGTCTTGGCATTAAAATCACCGACAATGATCTTGTGGAAGGTGTTGTCTTCTTTATAAAACTTCTCCAGCTCTATGTAGAACTTCTCAATTTCTTCTTGATCGTAATTGGATGTTGGTGAATAGACAATGAAGATAGAAACTCCTGGCAGTGAGCCACATCGATTCAAGTGTAATCGTCCAATTAGGGTTGTTAGGCATTTGAATGAATGAATGCCCATGGCTAAGTTCATGTTGACAAGGATACTGACACTACTGACGCTTCTTTTGTAGCATGTTCCGAGGAACAGTTTTTCTCCAGTGTCAAAAATGGTATGATGTGATCAATGCCTTCTTGTCTGAGTCAGACCAATGATGTTATACTTGATCTTCCACGCTTACACCATCAGGTCCTCGATGGATGCTTCCGATGCCAGAGTAAGTGCGTTCAAAGTACAGACAGTCAATTTAGTCCTTCTTTGATTTACCAGTAGTGAAGGTCGGCCGTTTGGGCAGCCTAGTTCGGCCCTGAGATTTTATCAGCCTCTCCTTGCTCATCCTTCTTAATTCTGCCATATTGGGGGCTCTTTAAGGGTCAGGGAAATGAGACCCATTGTATTTACTGTTTTTGGCATATCGAATATGCCACAGGTAGTTTGCCAGGCTCTGTCATGTAGGCAGGATACTCTTGGTAGCTTGCCGGGCTCTTTGAGAGGGATAGAGGCTTTTGGGGTGGCCTCTAATTACCTTGCAGGTGTTCCCATGGTTCAAACCATATTTGAACTCCATCAAATATGGTGCAGTAATAATGAAAAATGGGCATTAAGTATCTTATCATGTGTCATGCAGCTGCTTCGCGCTTCTCGGCCACCTGGTCCAGAATGCAGCCTAGAGCATGGCAGCAGCTGGGTAGTGGAGGTAGTGGAGATTGGTCGATGAGTTATCTGGCTTTGGCAGGGTGGGTCTTCTGAGTGTGATCCCTGGGTCGCTGGAGATTTGTGGAAGCAGGCTGAGGATCTTTGTTTCTGGGTTCCATTGAGTCTGGAGTCCAAGGTTACAAAGTTCCGCTTTACCTGGTTCTGTGGGGCTTCTTTACTCATGCGTGAAGCTTGACCCGAGTGGTAAGGAAAGTGGCCTGAAATGTGGCGTCGGCTGGATAGTGGAGGTAGTGGAGGTCGGCCGATGAGGTATTTATCAATTGTATTGATAATGTTATGAAACCAAAAACTAAAAATAACTAGGTTTAATCAGCCTAAAGCTTTCTGTCATTCTGACACCTACAAAATTACTAATGGCCAAAAATTTGAAGCCAAACTTAATTTTAAGAATAAAAGTTTTAGAATAAGACATTTTCCCTTCTCCCTGAAAATTACTAACCCTAAAAATAATGAAAGATAATTGGACATATGGAAGCCTGTAAGCTAAATTCCAGAGGCCTTAAAGCACCACAAAACCCATGAAGATAATTAGTGCATGATGTTTTTGAGACTTGTATAAAGAGATACAATAAGTACAATAAAATGTCATCAAACTTGCTTGTAGATTGAAGAAAAGTCATAGAGAAAAAAAGAGTGCTAAATTATTGAGTCTTTTAATGGGCATAGATAATGAAGAAATATAGGTATTGATGAATCTGAGTCAAAGGCTCTTATGAAAGTTAGACTATGAATAAAAGAGTTTTAGGAATACTTTAACCATCTTGAATGCTTTTCCTCCTCAAAGAAGTAATGATGCATAATTTTTAACTATGTTAAATAATGACAAAAGAGACATTCATTACATTAATATAAAATATATTATTTAAAAAATTATACAGAAGTTTCATGTTAAGGTTTAATTTTAAGTGTTTCATGTTTCTTATTAGCATATATAATAATGGTAAAAGTATTAGTGCATTGCCCAATCATAATCATCTTCAATTAATGAAATTGAATCACTTTTGGACCCATTCCTTTTACAATGGACTGTAGCAGTTTAGGACATCAAAAGTGTGCATTATAAGGGTAGTTTTCCATAATAGTGAAAATTTAAATCCCAACTCTCTAAGTTCTAAATTTGCTGAGTCCAGCCCACTTTTCCAGGCTTTGTGCATTCAAATTCTAAAAAGGGTGTCACTTTCCTTCAGCACTAAACTATGATATAACCAAAAGATTTTTCTTAAATAATCAAAAGGAATGATAAAATATGGTTCAAAATACAATGAAAATTACCTTTATATTGGCTACAAGCATACTCAAATAATTGATAAATAATGTTCCATTGAGTTAAAACTCAAATACTGTTCCTCTCCACGGAAATCTTTAGTAAAAGGCGAAAGATTTATACGATCTGAAAAGAAACCAGAGTTTCTAAACCACCAACTACACCACCTCCGCTTTGCTGATGACATTGTTTTAATAACACCAAACATTAGCCAAGCGGCACAAATGCTGGCCGACTTTGACCGTGAGTGTGGAAAGGTAGGACTACAGCTGAATCTTACGAAGACAATGTTTAAGAGAAAGAGCCTTGTTCCTGACGCCCCATTTGCTCTCAATGGAATGACCATCTCCGAATGCAACAGCTATGTGTACCTAGGTCGAGAAGGCAACATGACAAATGACCTGGCACCCGAGCTGCGCAGGAGGAAGAGAGCAGCTTGGAACGCCTTCAAGAACGTCGAAGAAATAGCTAAGAGGACGAAGAACCTCCGGCTCCGGGCACATCTTTTTGATTCCACTGTTCTTCCTGCATTAACATATGCCTCAGAGACCTGGGCCCTACGCAAAGAAGATGAGAACGCCATTCAGGTCTCCCAAAGAAGAATAGAAAGAGCTATGCTTGGAATATCATGTTTCACTCAAATGAGAGAACGAATCCGGAGTTCTGACATCCGTCGACGATGAAGGATCAGGGACGCTGTCTCATTTGCCAAGGTGTCGAAAATCAGATGGGCTGGTCACGTAATGAGATTTAAAGACAACCGTTGGACTAGAGCTGTTACTGATTGGATTCCACGGGATGTCAAGAGACCGCGTGGCCGCCCACCTACCAGATGGTCAGACTTCTTCGTCAAGATCATGAACGATCGGTTTGAGGCCCTTCATGTTCCCGGAGCGAACAGATGCCATTGGGCTACACTAGCACGCGACAGGGACAAATGGAGACGGTATTGGCGCCCGCTCGAGCAAATCGATGACTAACGGGAAGTTAAGTGATTAAGTGAAGTGATTAATGTTCCATTCATTGAGCATTTGAGTGGAAGCTTACTATAATCTAGCTACTCCTATAGGTGATCTCATTTGAAAGAAACTTCTTTTTGGTATGATCATGCTATTTTTTTACTCTAATTAGCTATCATCAAAATATTAAACCTTAAGATGTTTAATTTGAAAGAAGTTCTCATAGTTTTATAATCTGTATAAGAACTCAGATCACATAAGGCAAAACAAAATATAATCATTCTTTTATTTAATGTCATGGTACCCACAGAAGCAGCTTGATGACAAGCACGATAGGACTATCTTTAGCACATCACCTTTCTAGAACAGTTGTGATTGTTAATTATGACCATTTGGAGTTCACAGATGGCATATGAAATTGAAGTGTTCTGTTTTAGATAATGAAGGTGGTAGCACAATAAATAAATCATTGTGAAATCAAAGGACATACTTGTTGCTCAGCACAACATCCTGATTATTTTTTCAGTGAATAACTTGGTTGTTAATAGTACTTAGAATTTCATCACCAGTCATTATTTCTTCTGCCACTCTGTTCTCCCTTTCAGATGACTTTCCTCATGTCAGCTCTCTACCCCAACCCTGTTAAATGTACTGACATTGCACTGATCCTGTCTAATGAGATGTTGGGACAATTCCAAGGGAGAAATTTGTATCAATTAAAAAGATAACCACTTGTTTACAAAAACACTATAAACTGACATACAGAAAGGCAAAAACAGTTTAAAACGTTGTTGTTCAGTCACAAGGCTCAACCTTTAATAACATGTTAGTGATCTCTTAAGAAAGGGCTTAATGGCCCCTGAGTGAAATACAACAATCCTCACACCCTTTCCTCTAAGGATACATTTTTTGTAGCATTTTTAGTGCTTTCTTATAGCAAACAATACAAAATATATTATTTTGGTTGTTTTGGGTCAGAGATTGGGGTTCAGGATGGAAACATCCAAAACATGGAGGTGGGAGCTTGAAATGGTGGTGGGATCGGTGCTTGAATATTAAATGTTATCAAATATTGTGAACTACTTTATAAAATATAAAAAATTTTAAAAAATACTTGGCTCTTCCTTTTTGTCCCCAACGCTGTGCACAGTCTTCTTCCTCCCCCAGGTCAGTTAGTATTCAAATTTGTAACTTGGCTTTCTCTGTGTATGCGCCCCAAGTGTCCTCTAGGACACTGGGATGCTCACCGTCCCTGAGCCTCTTCCTCTTCGTCCCCAATGCTGTGCCCAGTCTTCTTTCTCCTCCAGGTTGTACCCGCCCCCCATGCACCAGGTACCTGTAGTGGGCGCCGCATCTTCAAAAGTGGGCATGGACGTGGCCTCTGTAGAAGTGGGAGTGGCCTAATTTGTGGCTGACAACCACTCATGTGGCTGCAGGTAGTTTACTCATAACAGCAATCTCATGTAACATCTCAGTCTCCATACCTCCACAGCAAAATGAAGTAACAACACAAATCTCCACCACAAGGGAAGAACAATGAAAAGAGTCCAGAAGCCTCAGTAGGTGCTACTCACCTAAGGGACCTCTCTGAGAAAGAATTGAGATATGAAGTAATGAAGATGTTCAATGAACTCAATGAAACAATGAGACAGATATCCAGTAAATTAAAAGAGGACAGGAGAGAATCAATCGAGAAAATACAGAAAGAAATGAGAGCAGAAATTGAAAAGTTACGCACAGAACTGTCACGAATAAAAGATTCTGTAGATGAAATAAAAAACTCAGTCTGTGCCCTCAATAGTAGAATGCTCACAGCTGAAGACAGAATCAGTAAGCTGGAAGATAATCTGCACGAAGCCAACAGGCAACAACAAACAATGGCAAGAGACCTCAAAATAGGTCTACAGTGAATCAAAATCCTAGGAATGATTCCAAGAGGAACAACATTAAAATCATTGGAGTACCAGAAGGTCAGGGAAACAATCCCAATGAAAAAGCCACAGTTAAACAAACATTGCAGAAAAGTTCCCAGAGCTGGACAATGCAGCCATTCAGATTCAAGGAGCCCAAAGGGTGCGAGCTAAAAGAGACCCTAACAAAAACAAACCTAGACAAATCATAGTTAGAATGATGGATGCCATGGAGAGAGACACAATACTGCAAGCAGCAAGGTCAAAGAAGATAATCACACAAAAAGGAGCACCCCTAAGATTTACAGCAGATTTATCAGAGGAAACCCTCAGAGCCTGAAGCGATGGTGGGATATAGCTAAAAAAAACTTACTAAAATGAACGTTTCACCAAGAATACTCTATCTGGCTAAATTCTCACTCAAACTCAAAGGAACAGTACACTATTTTGTGGATAAACAGCAGCTCAGGAACGTCATAGACTCAAAACCAAACCTAAAAGAAGGACTAAAGGGGCTACTATAAGAAAAGACAAACCCTACAACCACAACAGACCCTTACAGAAAGATGACACAAAACCCAGAACAATAATCTCTCTCAAAATCATGGTCTAAATTCACCAATTGAGAGACACAGACTGGCAAAATGGATTTATAGGCAGAATCCAAAATTCTGCTGCCTACAAGAAACTATCAGAACAACCAGAGAAAACACAGTCTCAAAATTAAAGTATGGAAAACAATCCTTCAAGCAAACAGCTCTCTCAAAAAAGCTGGGGTGGCCATACTAGTATCCGAAAACATAAATTTCAGGTTGAATAAGATTAGAAGGGACAGCGAAGGCCATTTTCTATTTATCAAGGGATTTATTTATTTATTTATTTATTATTTTTATTTTATATATATATTTATATATATATAAAATAAATTATTATTCTATTTATCTATACAACAGGAAGAAATCACACTCTTAAATGTATATGCACCTAATGAGGGAACAGCTAAATATTTAAAACAACTGCTAACAGATTTTAAGAAGGACATTGCTAGCAACACAATAGTAGCCGGAGACTTCAACATAGCCTTATCATCTCTAGAGAGATCAACAAGAACAAAACTCAGCAAGGAAACTTTGGCTTTTAAGAAAGAAACAGAAGAGAGGCACCTTATAGACCTACACAGGGTGTTACACCCCAAAAAGAAAGAAATCACATTCTTCTCCAGTACACACAGAACATTTTCCAAAATAGACAATGTGCTAGGCCACAAAACATACCTCAATAGAATCAGGAAGATAGAAATAGTATCAACAATCTTTTCAGACCACGATGCACTGAAGATAGAAGTGAATCACACACAGAAACAGTGAACCAAATCAAACAATTGGAAATTGAACGACTCAATGTTGAACAACGAGTGGGTCAGGAAGGAAGTCAAGAACAAAATCAAACGATTCCTAGAAAAAAATCAGAATGAAGACACAAGCTACCAGAACTTATGGGATGCAGCTAAAGCTGTGTTAAGGGGAAATTTTATAGCTCTGCAAGCATTACTCAGAAAGGAAGAAAGGGCCCAAATAAACAACTTGACTTCACTGCTCAAGATCTTAGAAAAGGAACAACAAAAGGATCTCAAACCAAGCAGAAGGGAAGAGATCATAAAACTTAGAGCAGAAATCAACGACATGGAAACCCAAAAAACAAGCCAAAGCATCAATGAAACCAAGAGTTGGTTCTTCGAGAAAATAAACAAGATAGATAAACCACTAGCAAGACTCATAAAGAAAGAGAGAGTGAGAGAACCCTAATAAACCGAATCAGAAATGAAAAGGGGAATATCACAACAGAAACCAAAGAAATTTAAAATATCATCAGAGACTACTTTGAAATTCTGTATGCCACAAAACAAGGGAACCTAGAAGAAATGGATAAATTCCTGGATTCCTATAATCTCCCAAGCCTGAATCAAGAAGATATAGAGTACCCGAATAGACCTATTAACATCAAGGAAATTGAAACTGTAATCAAACGTCTTCCCAAAAACAAAGGCCCAGGTCTAGATGGATTCACTAGCAAATTTTTCCAAATATTTAAAGAGGACCTATTGCCAGTTATTCGTAAGCTTTTTCAGGAAATTGAAGAAACAGAAACTCTTCCAAAAGTTCAAAGAAGCCCATATCTCTCTAATACCAAAAGGAAACAAAGACACCACAAAAAAAGAAAACTGAAGGCTGAGATCTCTGATGAACACATATGCAAAGATTCTCAACAAAATACTAG